TTTTTTTTTTTTTTTGAGACAGCGTCTTATTATATCACCCTCAGTAGAGTGCTGTGGTGTCACAGCTCACAACAACCTCAAACTTTGGGCTTAAGCAATTCTCTTGCCTCAGTCTCCGAAGTATCTGGGAGTACAAGTGCCCAGCACAATGCCTGGCTATTTTTTTGGCTGCAGTTGTCATTGTTTAGTAGGCCTGGGCTGAATTCAAACCCACCAGCCTTGAGGTATATGGCTGGCACCCTAACCAGTGAGCTACAGGCACCAAGCTGAGCCCAGCCCAGGAATTTTTTTGTTTTTTGTTTTTTTGAGACAGAATCTCATTTTGTCACCCTCAGTAGAGTACTAAGGCGTCATAGCTCATAGCAACCTCAAACTCTTGAGCTCAAGAGATTCTCTTGCCTCACCTTCCTCGTAACTAGACCTATAAGCACCCACCAGAATGCCTGGCTATTTTTAGAGACAGGGTCTTGCTCTTGCTCAGGTTGGTCTTGAACCTATGAGCTCAGGCAATCCACCTGCCTCGGCCTCCCAGAATGTTAGGATTACAGATGTGAGCCACCACACCCAGCCAGCCCAGGAGTTTTAGATCAGCCGGGACAATATAGCGAGACCCTGTCTGTATAGAAAAAAATTTTGTTTCTTTTTAATTATTGGGACATGGTGGTGCATACCTATAGTCCCAGCTACTTGCAAGGCATGAGGATTACTGGAGTCCTGGAGGCTGCAGTGAGCTATGATCATGCCACTGCACTCCAGCCTGGGTGACAGAGTGAGATCCTGTGTTTAAAATGATAAATAGGGCGAGGCCTGTGTCTCAAAGGAGTAAGGCACCGGCCCCATATGCCGGAGATGGCGGGTTCAAACTCAACCCCAGCCAAAAACTGCAAAAAATAAAATGATAAATAAATGAAGCTGGGAAAAGTGGCTCACGCATGTAATCTGAGCTCTCTGGGAGGCCAAGGCAGGTAAGTTGCCTGAGTGTAGGAGTCTGAAACCAGCCTGAGCAAGAGCAAGATCTTGTCTGTACTAAAAATAGGAAAACTAGCCAGTCGGGTGTTGTGGTGGGCACCTGTAGTCCGGCTACTTAGGAGGCTGAGACAAGAGGATCACTTGAGCCTAAGAGTTTGAGGTTGCTGTGAGCTATGACCCCATGGCACTCTACCCAGAGTAACAGAGTGAGACTCTGTCTCAAAAAAACTCCAAAACATTATAATAAAAAAGTGTCATCCCCAGGCCTAGACACTGCAGATTGCTATATCCATGATTTGCCATTTAACAGATGGGAAACCTGAGCCTTAGTAAAGAGAAGTCTCTAGTTGTTGTTATGGTCATTTATTGTTATTATTCACCTGCTTATTCCCTAGACCAGGCTCCCGTTTGTGGCCACATACATACAGTAGGCACTCATTAAATAGTAGACTCGTAGTCCCTCAGTCCTCAGAAAAGCAGTCATATGGATGAGAATAAGGAGAATAAACTTGGGGTTCTGTGGAAGTTTTTATTGATAAGAATTCAGAGCAGGCAGCAGGCTGGGAAGGGGGAGCCCAGTCCAGTCATGAGCAGGTCAGGAGAGCCAGGGGTGCCAGGGCCTGGCTCTTACTAGTCTCCCTTCAGCAGAGTAAGGAGCTGGTCGGTGAAAATGCCTGCATAAGTGCTCACGGCTGCTGTGCTTTTGCTGTACATGTCCCTGGGGAGAAAGGACAGAGGGTTGGAGAAAGGAGGCATTGGGAACTGGACTTCTAAGTCTGAGGGGGCCAGAGCTGGGGGTCTGGACTCCCAGGCCTTAAAGGGAAGGACACTGGGGGCCCAGAATTCTGTGTCCTTTGGGAAATGGTGTCTGGAATCCAAACTCCAACTCCTAGATCCCTAAGTAGACAGGGGCTCACAGAATCCTGGGTTTCAGTGGAGCTGGGAGCTGGGTGCCAAAACCACTGAGGCCTTAAAAAGAATGTAAGTTTGAACCTGGACCCCTGGGTCCGAGGAAGGAGGCATCCTGGGTGCCGTAAGTGTAAACAGGTGCTACCTGAGTTTCTCATCCACAGTGGGCAGGTATGTCTTCTCGTACAGGCCTCGGGCAGCTTCCTTGGCTGAATCCCAGTAGCTGGAGAGTGATTCCTGCATCTGGGTGAGCAGGGTCGGGCTGCTGGGTTCATCTTGCTGGGGCAGCTGGGCCCCCTGGACCTCTGCAGTGGGCGAGTGTGTCAGGGCAGCTGCTGGAAGGGAAAAGAGGCAGGAAGGAGAGGAGGGGAAAGGGGCAGGGTTGGAAAAGGACAAGGCTGGGAAGATGCTTAGAGCTCATCACCCTCCTCAAGACACCCCCCTGCCCTGCAGCCCTCACTCACCAAATCCCAGTACCAGCAGGACAAGAAACAGAGCCAGGAGGAATCGGGTGCCCATGGCGTCAGGAGACCTGGAACACCAAGCGGGTGTTGTGCAGGGGGCCACTGGAGGTGTCTGTTCCTTCCATCCTGCCCTACACAAGCCCTTACCTGACTGGGATCCCACTTCCTGCCCAAGTCACGTTTCTAATACATTGATTGACTTGGGCATGGTGGTGGCCTTGGGCCTCACTTTCAGACATTTTATGATTCTACTCCTGATTTGAACTTTTTTTTTCTTTTTTCAGTTTCTGGCTGGGGCTGGATATGAACCTGCCACCTCCGGTATATGGGGCCGGCGCCCTACTCCTTTGAGCCACAGGCACCGCCCTGATTTGGGCATTTTAATTCTAATATCCTCTCATTCATCTATCACTCAAGAAGCTTTTCCTGAGCACCTAAACAGTTCTGGGCCCAGCAGCGAACATCCCATCATCTTTTACTAAGACCCAATCAGTGCCAGAAAGTGCTCTACAGATTCAATAGAAGCCACCCTAGGCTCGGCGCCTATAGCTCAACCGGCTAAGGCGCCAGCCACGTACACTTAAGGTGGCGGGTTCGAATCCCCAGCCCGGGCCCGCCAAACAACAATGACGGCTGCAACCAAAAAATAGCCGGGCGTTGTGGCGGGCGCCTGTGGTCCCAGCTACTTGGGAGGCGGAGGCAGGAGACTCGCTTGAGCCCAGGAGTTGGAGGTTGCTGTGAGCTGTAATGCCACGGCACTCTACCCAGGGGGACAGCTTGAGGCTCTGTCTCAAAAAAGAAAAAAAAAGAAGCCACCCTAGACAGGGCACATTTCCGCTGTGCAGGACTCTGCTCTAGCCAGGCCTGGTCCTTGCACACCTGCTCATTCAGCCTCATCCCAGCCCCAACCCCATGAGTGAGGCACTCTCAGGGGCTGCCTTGTGCAAGGGGCACCCACACTCTGCAGATGAGGAAATTGTGGCACATAGAAGTTGAGAAATGACCCAGGGAAAAGGAACAGCGTGGCAGATACTCTGCTGAATCTGTGATTCCAACATAAGCTTCTGACACGGTGACTCTTGCCATTCCTGATTTAGCAATCTTTGCCCATCCCTGCCATCCTCCCCCACCCCTAGCTACAGTCCCTCTCTTACCAGACACTGGCAGGCTGGCCTCACCAACTCCAAACTGGCAGAGGAAGGTTTTATAGCTCTTGAAGTCCACCTCCCCTCTGCTGCCGCCAGCCCTGTCTGTGGTCTAGGCCAAAGTCCTGGCCAACAGAATGGAGGAGGGGCGGAGGGGGTGGGTGGGGGCAGAAAGGGCAGTGACATCCCCCCAAGGTCAAACCACAGGGAGGCCTCAGTCTGAAAACTCAGCCCTGAGAGAAACTGGTTGGGGCTGTGGCTGTGGACAGGTTGGGGGTTCTGGGCACCCACCAGAAATGGTCTGGGGTCTATATCCTATGGGAAATGATGACAGAGTTCCAGGTGAGGGGCCACCAGGGGGACCTGCTGACCCCTACCTGCTCTCCAGCCTGCACCTTCTTAAAACTTAGTACCTGGAAGTCTCCCACCTCCCACAAACCCACAGTGGAGAGATCATCCTCTGACCCTTTTCTCCAAACCACCCCCCTACTGTCCCTCCCTTTTCAGTTGTCACCTCTTCTATTCATAACTCCTGGTGGGGTTATCTCTGGCCATGTTAGGGACAAATAATACAGACAGGGACGCAGATAAGAATTTCTTTATTATGGGTGTTGGGGAGAGGTATAAATAAGAACTTTTTTTTTAGATGAGGTCTTGCTATGTTGCCCAGGCTGAATTTGCATTCCTGGGATTAAGCAATCCCCCTGCCTCAGCCTCCCAAGTAGCTGGAACTGTACGCACTGAGCACCATGCCTGGTGCGTATGAACATTCTAATCCTGGTCCTTGTCCCCACAGAGAAGCCTGGGACACAGGCTTTGGGCTTTGTTCAGGAGGCCATCCTTGGAGCTGCGGAGCCAGGCCTTGGTGCGAGGACCCAGGTCCTTCAGGTGGTCATGGTAGTAGGTCTGCAGAAAGCCCTGGAAGGGCCCAGGGCCCCTACAGGAGAGGGATTGTCACAATGGAGACTCCAAATACCCCAGGGGTCCTCTACCGTATTCACCCCTTTCTCCTTGTGACCCAGTAGTCCCTGATCTCAGCTTTCACTGTCTACTCTTCTTAAACCCAAGAATCCATACCCCCAGCCCCTCTTCCCTCAGATTCAGGGATCCAGACCCTCAGCCCTCCTCCCTCAGATTCAGGGATCCAGATCCCTAGCCCCTCCTTCCTCAGACCCAGGGGTTTAGTCCCAGCCCTTCCTACCCCAGACCCAGGGGTATAGATCCTAGCCCCTCCTCCCTCAGACCTAGGGGTCCACCCAGCCCCTCCTCCCTCAGGCCCTCCTCCTTCAGACCTAGGTGTTCAGCCCTATCTGCTCCTCCCTCAGACGCAGGGGTCTGGGCCCACAGCCCAGAGGCCAGTGGTCACTCACCAGAGCCACTGCCACCTCTCTCTGGTCTTGGTCACTAGTGGCTCCACCAGCTCTTTCACCTTACTTTGTACCTGGCTCCAGTGACTCTTCGGCTCTGGTGGGGGGCTTTGGGTTCCTGGAGGCATTTGCAGCTGGCATGCTAGGTGAAGACAGAGAGCAACTTGGCTGGGCTGGGACCCCAGAACCTCCCTTCTTCCTTCTCTTCTGTGTTCATCCTCTGTTGCTCCTGGTAGCCCAGGGGCAGCCCTTGCTGGTGCTCTGGTTACCAGCCTTCACCTTGCATGTCCCTCCGCCCCTATCCCCTTTTGATCATCAGTCATCTCCTTTCACCCTGTGCCTGTGATCCCTCCTGTCTTCCCTCCATCTATAACTCCTCCTCCCTGCAATCCCCTCCTGATGCCTCCTTTTGCCACTTTATCCTGCTGCCCAGGGACATCCCTGTTCCCTTAGTTTTCCCATGACCCCCCCCACACACACATTGTCTGAGCTACCTCTGCAGACAGTGGAGGGACAGGACAGGGTGACTCTCTGCCCCCAGGGGTGGCTGTTGACTTAGCCATGCTGTCAGTTCCTTCTGCTGGGCCAGCAGTTCCCCCATGGGTTGGCTTACTTCCTGGCACACACACGTCTAGACAGCCTATAGAGCCCAGCCATCACATGAGTCCATGTGACACACTCAGACAGAGGCACCCAAGGGACAATAATGTAACCTCTGCAAGACTCAGTTTCCTCTTCTGTAGAATGGGATAATAATAGAACCTACCTCAGGGTGACCATGGAAATTGAGAGTTAATATATATCATGCACTTGGAATAGTGCTTTGCACACTGTAGGCACTATTTATGTGTTTGGAGGGGGTGAGACAGACTCTCACCCTGTCACCCTGGGTAGAGTGCCATGGCATTACAGCTCACAGCAACCTCAAACTCTTGGACTTAAGCAATCTGCTTGCATTAGCCTCCTGAGTAGCTGGAACTATAGGCGCCTGCCATTATGCCCAGTTAGTTTTTTCTATTTTCATGATTATTTATTTATTTGAGACAGAGTTTCACTCTGCCACTCTGGGTAGAGTGCCAGGGCATCATTATAGCTCAAGCAACCTCAAATTGTTGGGCTCCAGTGATCTTTCTGCTTCAATTTTGCTACTTTTTTTTTTTAGTATCGACAGGGTCTTGCTCTTTTTTTTGAGACAGAGCCTCAAGCTGTCCACCTGGGTAGAGTGCTGTAACATCACAGTTCACAGCAACCTCCAACTCCCGGGCTCAAGTGAGTCTCCTACCTCAGCCTCCCAAGTAGCTGAGACAATAAGCGCCAGCCACAACGCCTGGCTATTTTTTGGTTGCAGTAGTCATTGTTGTTTGGTGGGCCAGGCTAGATTCGAACCCACCACCTTAGTTGTATGTGACTGGTGCCTTAGCTGCTTGAGCCACAGGCAAGGTGGCTCAAGGCCAGGGTCTTGCTCTTGCTAAGGCTGGTCTGGAACTCCTGAGCTCAAGCAATCCACCCACCTTGGCCTCCCAGAGTGCTAGGATTACAGATGTGAGCCCAGCCT